CATAGCTTCCGGGACTGTCAACCAAGAAATTTACGTGAAAGAGTGTTTGAATAAACGTCTGCTGCCTTTCCTGAAGAAACACGGTTGTTCCGTACTGTTTTGGCCGGATTTGGCATCTTGCCATTACGGTAAAAAGGCCATGGAGTGGTACGCCGCCAACAACGTGCAGGTGGTTCCCAAGGACAAGAACCCTCCCAACACGCCAGAGCTCCGCCCAATAGAGAAATACTGGGCTATTGTCAAGCGGAACCTAAAGAAGACCAAAAAAACTGCTAAGGGCGAGCAGCAGTTCAAGGCAAACTGGCTTTCTGCGGCGAAGAAGGTGGACAAGGTGGCTGCACAAAATCTGATGGCAGGGGTCAAGCGTAAGGCCCGGCAATTCGGATTTGGAAAAGCGGAAGCCTAACTGAATATTTTTCCTGAATTTTATACTAATTGAACTTGAAAAAGAAATTTAATTTGATTTTTTAAATAAACGATTTCACCGATTTACACGCGTTTTCCCTTGACCAAATTTTGACCGTATCACCCTTTAGTATACACATACACACAAGCCATCCTAAAATTTGAAGCAAGTATTTCATGATTTTAGATGGTATATTTTCTGGGTAAAACACCATCACTGCATTTATTTACTTGTGTTCTTCGTAGCATTCCACAATTTCACGTAATCGAATACACAAAATTAATATAAACTGGAGGTCAAATTTCTTGGTGAACAAATTAAAACACCCAGAAAATCACTTCGACTCCAGTTCTTTGCTAGCGAACGTAAAAGAATCATTAAACAAGCGTTGCCAGATGTATTACCTCTAGCAGTCAATATAAGTTTATTAAAACATGCAAATACGAATAGTTTAACCCAATAACTTAGATGAGTGGATATGTTTAATGGTGAATAAATATCAAAAACTGAATAACTAAAACTAAAAGGACCATTTTGGAACGTTCCAATTACAAAGGTAGAAAAAAGATTGAATTAAACACAAACAGGGGAGATGGCACCATTGCATGTAGCCTGTTATTGGCTTTTCCGCTCAGGGGTATAAACAAAATGTCATACAGCGTGGTCTGGCAGTGGGACATCCTTATACGCGTGCATGTGTGACGTCACATTTGCTGTTGTATTGAAAAGTAAAAGAATAAAATAGATGGTAGATTTTGCTCACCATACCTGTCCGCTCACTGACACTGAAAATGGTGTAGGAAATCCTGGGCTAGGGGGATCCCAGCTGTACGGCCAATTCCCTCTTCAAAGGGAATACCAAAGGTATTGATAGGTGTTACGAAATGCTTGACTTGCAGGGATTATCCCATTGTGAGTTTTGAGAAAGGCTGATTGTTTTCGGCTTGTCACGGAAAAGGAGAATGCGTATTTGTTTAGTTTAAAACTTTGTATTAAATGATCCGTTCGATACAATGGTTGGTACACGTGTGTCGTATGTGAGTTTTGCGCGAAAGGTGGTTACTATTATATAATTCTACTTCTTCTTCTTCTCCTCCTCGCTGCTATGCTATGATAGGAAATTCTACTAGTGGGAGGAGCCAAAGCTTGAGGCAACATGCTCACTTTCGGTAGTGCGTGTGTTGAAGTGAAAAAGGGTTGAAGTTAGTGGGGTGACCGATTACCCGCGGTCGGCTCGGGGTTAATGGATGGGACTTTGCCAAATAATATAAGGCGGAAAACGGGGATCAATATGATCAACACTAGAAAGAATAAATACAAGAAAATCACACAAAACGTTCGCCTCGTGCGCGAACAATACCAGTTGATATTTATGCATCATCGACTGTTTTGGCACGACGTCGAACGCTACCAACGAATTTTACCAATACTTTTAGAAAGTGATGATTTAGGAATGCAAAAAGAAGAACCAAAAGCAAATCGAGTGATGGTTAGTTGCCTCTTAGTAGTAGTAAAATTATGTTTATTTCTGTTGATAATGATAGGGGAAATGACGGCTTCGGCATGACAGAATATTTTCGGCAACACAAATTGAAACACTATTTTCACTGGATTTTCTTACGAAAACACTTCGCTGAATGCATGCAAACGATTCTTTATGCTTTCAGCTTCAATTTGACTATATTTTTACCACTGAGAAAAAGCAATCTAGCAAGGTTTTCTTGAAATGCAACACACGCACTACAAATTGTAGCTGATTTCGAGTTGCCGATAATAGAACAGCAGATTTACATGCAGTTCAAATGGAACGGTTGCCGACAATACTCGCTCTCACTAGAGAAGATTGTTTTTGACAATTCTTTCGACTGAAATTGTTAGAGCAGCTGGCAGCAAAAGATTGTAAACATACCAATACTGCATATGTGTGCGTTCCTTAGAGAAAAAGGCTATAGGAAGAAGGTCGCTGCTTAGGTTGCCGAGAATACGTACATTCCCCTAGTACATTGATTTCACATTTTAATTGATTAGCCTACCTGGCTCTTCATCTTTGTTCAATTTGATATTCTTATTTAATATTTGCGTTTTTCAACTACAACTTACACAATACCCCGTGGGGGTGTGTGTTTTGTTTGAATTGAAAAAAACGTGATAACCTACATAACAACTAGTATAACTTAACCTAACGTGCTAGATTACGTATGATCTGATGATTTGATCTCAGACAGGTGCCTCTGAACCTTTCCAGGATGAATACTCTCCGTTCTTCTAATGTCTGAATTCCAGCCAGGAGGGTGATCTCAGAAATTCTAGTCCGCGGGGGACTGTTTAGGACCATCCTAAGGATCTTGTTCTAAATCCTTTGGAGTTTGAGGTGATGGCATTTGGCGCAACTCTCCCAGATTGGCATCCCGTATTCCATTACGGGAAGGATGATTTGTTTGTAGACAGCAAGCTTATTTTTCAGGGATAGAGTAGACCTCCTGCTCATGAGTGGATACAATGATCTTATCAAGATGTTACACTTGGTTTTGGCTCACTGAAAATCAGCTTGCTGTCTAGTGTTAAGCCAAGGTAGACTACCTCTTTCGACCATTTCACCACTGTGCCGTTCAGGCAGATTTTATTATTCACCGACGGAACAAGTCTGGGAGATTTAGAGTGTGGAAATATGATGCCCTGGGTCTTTGCCGCGTTGATACGGATCTTCCAGCTGTTGAAATATTCAGACAGGACGTCCAGGCCTCTCTGAAGTTTGGCAGTCAGAGCTCCGATGACCCTACCCTTGTAGACGATGGATGTGTCATCTGAGAAGAGAGACAACGATACACCATCAGGAGAGCCGGCATATCGGAGGTGAACAGAATGAATAGAATGGGGCCAAGGATGCTTCCTTGTGGAACCCAAGCACCGATGTTGAAAGCATCCGATGTGATGCCATTCAGAGAGACTCGGAACGTCCTGTGCGATAAGTAGTTGTTAATTATCTTCACTAGGAAGATTGGAAGACCGTAGTGCTGCAATTTGAACACCAAGCCATCATGCCAGACATTGTCGAACGCTTTTTCAACGTCCAACAACGCCATGGTTAGTTGCCTCTTAAAAAATCATTAAATTTATTTAGAACTCAAACAAACTACAAATTTTCTCAATAACTTCTTATGAGATGAACTAGCCCAAGAGCTAAATATCTCGCTAATAAAGCCTTAAAAAATCTCCAAGACTGTTCCGGAATTCTGTGCAGAGCACTTTCGGAAATTCCCTCGAGAAAACTCTTGAAATTCACTCTACATTAGGTTCGTATTCTTACTAACTCCCGCGAGAAGTGCCTTTAATTTCTTTCCATGATTTTCTTTAAAATGCCCTTGTATGTTCTTCAGAAATCTCTTGTTATGTCCTTTAGAATAGAAAAAGTATTCTCACAAAATTTGCTTGTATTTCACCTCAGAATTCCATGTAAATATTTCTCAAGTTCGCTTGACACCTGTGAAGTTCTCTGAAATTTTAGGAACTTCATAAAAGTTCCTGAAAATTTTCGGATTCTAAAGAAACCGCTTTGAAGTTCTTAAAGCTTCCAGTAAGTTCCTCATATTTTCAGCGTGTTAACTTCCCTTATGTTCCCGCAGTTTGTTTATGGAGCTTCACTGAAATTCTCAGCATTTCCTTTCATTCTAAAAAGTGACTCGCTACCAGCCCTGTAATCGTTTTGTTTTCCAACCAAACAGCATTTCTGTTGATGTTACCATATTTACATGGTAACATGGTATATTTGAAGTATTTTTTTAACCATGAATTTGATTAACAATACTACATAAAATTCTATGGAGAGCATAGCAATTTGGTTGAAAACATAATAGAATTGAAAAAAAAAAATATTCGGTTGATTTTACTATGAACAGTCAAAGAATAATTAAACACATTTCAATGGTACGTGATACCACACTATTTTTATCAGTATACGCACACACCTACAAAATTAGGGACGTTCAAGTTTTTTAAGTGCACGATTAAAGAAAAATACACCAAATTTTAGCCGACCAATTTTTGCCCGTTCCACCCTTTACTCTCGCTGTTCTAGTTCCACACACCACAAAACATACTTTCCACTAATAAGCCACGACCATATGTGTTTGCATCCATTCAGCTGCACCCATTAGCATATAAAGCGGATAGAAAAACTTTTTCAATATTTTCACCCCCATCACGACGCCGACGACGATGCTACACAAAACATATGAATCCACCTACGCCATCCTTCCAGCGAGGGAAATCATCGCCCACCAACTGCAGCAACGGCAAACGGGACAAATCATTGCGAAAATAAAGATGCATGCAACAATACTTTTAATGAGGAAACTTTCCCCATCTAGCAACTTATCGAAACCTTCGGATGCACTTTGACGGAGCTTGAACTTGTTTAGACTTTTGTGTGTCGCTCTCCTCTTATGCAACTCCATTCGGTTCGATTGGAAAACTGCATCATCTTCTATCCTTGCAGCAATTGCGAAGATGAGGGGCGCATGATTTTACAGTTTTACAAGTATGCTGAGTACGATCGTAATCGCTTTTATCCTCTTTTCCGTCCTCTCCAATCTAGATGAACGAAGTGCTGGACGCCATGTTCGAGAAAAAAGTCAAAGCAAAAGATTATATTATAAAACAAGGAGATGACGGAGATAACTTCTACGTCATTGAATCGTAAGTATAGACAAAGGTGGAATTCCATCCTTCATCAACTCGTCGGGGATTAGTATGCTGATTTGGTCCTTCTCTTGTTTTACAGAGGAATTTACAAAGCTTACGTAGGAGAAGATCAGAAACATATACATACGTACGATCACAGCGGTAGTTTCGGTGAACTAGCTCTTTTATACAATATGCCAAGGTAAGTTGCCCCCTGCTTGGAACTACTATTATAGGAACCTTTTAAGTTGATTACTTGATTTACGTTCTCGGTCGTACAGAGCTGCCACCATCCAAGCAGAAACGGACGGTCAACTATGGGCGATGGACCGGCAGACGTTCCGAAGGATTCTGCTCAAGTCCGCGTTTAGGAAACGGAAAATGTACGAAGCACTACTGGATGCGGTTCCGATGTTGAAAACGTTACAGGTTTGTACCGGCCTTCGATTTTTTTTTCTCGTTCGAGCAACAAGCTCTTTGATGTTGTTTTAACCATTCTCTCTCGTCTTTTTTTTTTCATTTTTACCAAAAGAATTACGAGCGCATGAACCTGGCTGATGCTCTCATACCCAAGACTTTTGCGAAGGGAGAAAGAATCATCAAGCAAGGTAAGTACACTCGTGCCGACTGGGGCTTCTGGGATAACGTCCGGTAGCATGGTATAATAGGTTGAACATTTCCCAACATCTAGCTAGCTGTCTGTCAGAGTCTCGAGCTTGAAAGTTTATTTTTCATGTTGCCCTGAAAATGAAATTGATTTATGGCACTTGCCAGTCTACGGATCTAATGTTTACAAATACTACTTGCTGTACAAGTGGTTTAGCGCGCTAGCATGATTGATGCACAGTAATGGAAATGTAAATGTCTTGTCTGAAAGGTCAAGATGAAATTTTCAATCTTGCTAGCTACTATAGATAAACATTTATTTAATAACTGAAATATGATTGGGAAAGGTCTGAGGAATGGAATATTTTAGAGTAACCATTGTCAAATAGGGACACTCTAAGTAACACTTAGCGTGTCCTATTTGACAATGGTTTGGTTTCGGTGCTAATCAGTTTTCAAATATTCTAAGATTATTGCCCAAAAAAATAAGCGATTGTTCAGGTAATGCGACTAGCATTTTTGATAATTTTCATCAAGGCATACTCAGTCTTGGGGTAATCCAATCCAAATGGTCAGTTTTGCCGCATTTTTGAAGATAAAACTATAATGATGATACAATTTACTTGTAAAACTAAAAAATGTGTACTAAATATGATTTAATATGAACTTTAAGAATCTACCGTTTTATTGTTCAATGTTGGTGTTGCCGCGATAATAGGACAAGTTGATTTTTGCGAATTTTAGAACTAGTCTACGTACATTGTCACAAAAGTTGGATAACTGCCTAAAAACATCCTTTTGTGAAAGAAAAAAAATCGTCGATTTGAAATTTAATATACACACACTTAGAATTTATCGCCGACTTCGGTAATTTTTACCGAAATCTAAACAGCTGAACTTTTCGGTAAAATTTATGCAATTCAATTCAATTACTTTTCAGCTACTTTGAAACTAAATCTCCACTAAAATGACAAGATTTGATCTTTTAAACAAGTTTGAACATTTTCAAATTCAATAGCCTTTAAAATGAAGGTCAAAGTTTTACCGAACGTTCAGCTGTTCTGATTTCGGTAAAATTTACCGAACACGGAAACAAAATCTTAGTGTGCAAACTTTACTTTCTCAATATGGGGAAAATTAGTGGCTATCACGATATCGACCACGTGCTTTGGTCATGCACCCCCCATTGTGTTGCTAGATCAAAGTTATCTCGCTCAGGGCCCGAGGAAAACAACCTTTGCGGTTAAAGATATCTTGGCGAGCCGAGATCTCGACTACTTAAATTTAATTGATGTGTTTTTAAAACGGATCGATCTGAGGATTTAGTATTTAGTGTCATCTTGTGTTCGAGATCAAGAGCACATTGCTCTCTAAACCCTGTGTTCTCAATCCCTTCCCTGACATCCATTTGTTACAATTTGTTACCCCTAACCTCGAGATAGCCGCGAGTAATCGGCCCCCGCCTTACTAACGTTAGTTTTAAGTAAGTTTGTATTCCATGTTGTTGAATATCGGCTCCGCAAAGCTACAGCAAATGAGCCTGGAAAAATTAAAGCATTTTTAAAAAAAATGGTGAAAATCGCTTTTCTATATTTTGAAGTTAATATGTACTTTTACGTAGAGTAAAAAAAATCCATGTTTATGGAGCATATAGAACAACTATGCCTGAAAATGTTTGCTGAATACGGTATGGAGTACTGAACTTAGAATAAGAAAGTTATTCAACTTAGAATCCATGCTAATTTATTTTGAATGATTTCTCATCTGTTCATTTGGGAACACAGTGTGAAGTTGGGAGGTGGAATTGTATAATCGGAACGGTGGGTGGTAAGGTGGTAGAACAACATATTGGATTTGGGTTTACAGGCTATAACTTAGAATCTCTCAAGATCATGGCCATATACAAAATTGCACTCTTCTACAAAGTTATTCAGGATATCAAAACGTTATGGTTGGTGGACACATTAGTTCAGAATAATTCCTTTGTTTCTGTCTTCGGTAAACTTATTTATGTGACCAAGGTCTTTTGGTTAGTGAACAGATTAGTTCAGAAGTCACTCCCCATGTGGCGCTAGTATACATGACCTTCTGAATCTGCTATATTATATCACCAGATCCTGCCTAGCTACGAACTTTCCGGCTTCGCTAAATTTGTTCAGATGATCAAACTCTTCCGGAAGTTTATCAGATTAGTCCAGAATTCAGTCACCCCGCGGCGCTAGTATACATATTGACTTCCTGAATATGCTATATTATATCACATCAGGGGATCCTACCTAACTTTGAAGTTACTGTTAACAGCAAAATTGTCCAGATGATCAAGCCCTTCCGTATGGTGAATAGATTAATTCAAAATTATCAACAATTATCCAACTTTTTTGAATACGTACGTAGACAAATTTCAAAATTCGCAAAAATCAACACGGCCTACCGCGATAAGTATGTGTGTGTGTGTGTGTTTGCTTTTTCTTTTTTTGGCTAGGAGGAACCTTCAAAAGGCCATCATGCCACTACTTGACGATCGGGCGCACGGTCGCGGTGACACGGTGTGTGGGATTCTTACCGCACTAAAACCACCAACAAACTGACATGAATGACCATAGCAAAAACAATAAAATTTCTGACTGAAGCACATTACTGACATTTGGCTCCGTGTTCGCGGGAAATATTTAGCTAAGCCATGAACCCGCATGCAAAAGTTATGAATTGGTTCGTGTCTGATCTATTCTGAACACATTATTTGTATCTAGATAAAAAAATCCTACGGTTTTGATAGTTTGGATCACTGCACATTTAAATCGGCCGTTTACGATTTTCTGGCAAAAGTCAGAATTAAGTGTCATGTCGGTTTATCGGTGCTAAAACCTCCTTAGACGCCTTTCCCTTTTCCGCCGGAACCACGGGGGCTGTGAATTACACACCTCACTATACCTCAGCTAACTGGCGCTTCCACTTCGCTGATCGTCTCTCCAATTTGGGAGCCGTTTAGCTCCCAGCGTTGCGTTTTACTCAGCTAACCCCCGGCGATGGATTCAGCATACTCCGACGGAGAGTTCCCGGGAGATGGAAGTTCTCCCGTTTCTTTTCTGTTTGTTTGCCATTTAGCTCCCAGCGTCGCGTTCTACTCAGCTAACCCTCGCCGGTGGATTCAGTCTACTCCGACGGAGAATTCTCCCGGCTTCGTCTTTCACTTCGCACTTGTGTGAGCACATTACTACTTTCTAGCTGGTCTTCTCGCCATTTTCGCTGCAGCGCTGACATGATCTGTGTTACTGCTCTGCTGACGGCATTAAAGGGCGAGTATCTTCTCTCGCACAGTATCAAATCTAGGACATTCGAAAACCATGTGCTCTGGTGATTCTTTCACATTCCCACACTCCGGACAGAAGGGTGATGTCGTGTGTCCGAACCGATGCAGGTACTTTCTGAAGCAGCCTTGACCAGACAAGAGCTGTGTCAAGTGGAAGTTGACTTTTCCTTGCTTCCTGTTCACCCAGGTCGAAAGAATCGGTATTAGCCTGTGTGTCCATCTACCGTTCTCTGCTGCATCCCACTCCTGCTGCCACTTAGCCATCAACACCGTTCTCACCATTTTTCGTACTCCTCTGGTTTCTCTCGTCATATAGCACTTGTAGTCCTCCGCCAGGGTGATGCCGATACTGCTTCCGACGAGATGGTTCTGTACGCACTGCTCAATTTTCATTGGTTTTGCTTCGTTTCCAGCGCTGGAACCCAGGCTTGACCTCCATATCTCAGTATCGACGACGACACACTGGCCAGAAGACGCCTCTTGCTACTGCTGGGACCAGCGCTGTTCGGCATGATTCTGGCTATCGCGTTGATGGCCTACGAAGCCTTCTCACAGGCATATTCAACGTGACTGTTGAAGTTTAGCCGGTCATCGATCATCACTCCCAGGTATTTCAACACACGCTTTGAGGCTATGGCGTGCTCCCCGAGGGTGATTTCTGCCCGCTGTACCGCTTTACAGTTACTGACCCATAACACTTCCGTTTTGTGGTGGGCTATCTGTAGCTTCGCTCCTTGCATCCAGGTACCAATCCTGTCGATCGCCTCGGTTGGCAACACTTCCACCTCTTCCAGCGTCTCGCCTGTTACCGTCAAGACGACGTCGTCCGCAAAAGATATCTGTCCCATGTCTGTCTCGTAGACCAGAACCCAGTTCTGGAAATAACTCCTCAGGATCCTGCACAGGTAGTCAGGGACTCTCATTCTATGCAGCGCTTCGGCGAAGGTCTCCCAGCTGGCGCTGTTGAACGCATTTTTGACGTCGATCGTTATCACGGCGCAATATCGATCTCCTCTCCGCTTCTGTTTGGACACCTTCACAGTTCTCTCGACCACTGTCCGAATTGCATCCACCGTTGATCTCCCTTTCCGGAACTGCCTCTCCGGCAATCCGTGCTTACTCTCCTTGTATTTCGTCAGCCTGTTTAGGATGTTCTCCAAGAGTTTTCCGAGTGTATCTAGCAACACTAGCTTCTGTATCTTCCATCTATCAGGAAAATGACCCTCGGCCAGGCATTTCTGCAACACTATCCTGAACATGTCCGGGGACGCCTGCATCACCGATTTCAACGCTACGTTGGGAATTCCATCCGGACCGGGAGCTTTCTTCACCTTCAATCGACGTTATCCTTCTCTCCTTCTCCGTACGGTGTAGGTGGCCAGGTCGTTGGGTCGTGCTTCGGGAAAAGTCCTTCCACGATGACTTTCAGCTTCTCTAGACAAATTTCAGCGGGCATCTGATCCTCGCCATCACGACTCGGTATGCGTCGCCCCAGGGATTGGCATCAGCGTCTCGACACAGCTCCTTAAAACAGTTTGACTTGCTCTGCTTTATTTCTCGTTTAAGTGCTGCTTCTGTTGTTGCTCTCTGAACACGTCTTCTGGTTCTGAGACAACTAGCGCGGAGGGTGCTAAGTGCCTCGTTCCACCAGTAAACTGGACGCCGTCTGATATTTGACTCCAATTTCCTGGGCATAGTCGTGTCACATGCTCTCACTAATGTTTCTGTCAGCTCGTCCAGGTTCATATCTGTGGGACTCCTATCCACACGAAGTGCCTCAACGAAAAGATCCTTGTCGAAAGCCTTCGTCTTCCACTTCCGGTCACAAGTTCTCCTCCTCCGAACTGCCACAGTATTCCGTTAGCCGATGCCATATCGGATCGCCTGATGGTCGCTATGGGTATATGCTTCGCAGTCAGTAAGGTCCATGGATAGTTTTATAACATTGATCAACTTTATGTGGAATATATCGAGACCACGCGCTATGGCACTATAGCCATAAGCCATAAAAGGCTAGGACAAGAGTGTCCCATGTCTGTTCCAACCGTCAGAGGAAAATGGAGCATCACTGAACCTGTCTAGCTTTGATGCTTCCAACGACTAACACATCATATAATTACCAAAAACGGAACGTAAGGTACGAGATGTCCACGTTTCATACATTTATTGGATTCTGAAGCATCGATTTAAATAGGCCCGATGTTTTCTGAATCATCTTGCCCCTTAAATGCTGCACAGTAGGCCTGGCTCTTTTTGGTATATGTGACGCATCTTCGATGTGATACATATATGAAATAGACATGGAAAATTATGGAGGCATATCAATCATTTTCCAGGAAGCTATCAAGAACTGGCTGTGTTGATATTAGATTAGACTAGAAGCGAAATGAATGTGTAACATTTAATTGATTTTTTTTATTGTGGCTATTAAAATATAAAAGGAATATTAGAGGGGATGCTATTCAACTAATATCCGCACGCTACTGCATTATGTATACAATTCCTATTTTTGCGTGATTTTGATTTTTTTTTCAAAGATCTAAAATCATGAAAAAATTCAGTTCATAACAAAAAGTGTTTTGTTTTATTCTGCCTTTTTAATGTATGCGTATGTTTTGTTCTACCTGGTTTATATGGTCTGTCTTTTGAGATTACGCCTGTTGTGAATCCACCTTTTTATAGGGTTTCCTAAATTCATTACTTGCTTTGAGCACTATCCACTACCAGTTCTAAACAACATGTAAATTCAAAGTGTTTTTTATGTTACTTCATACGCGAAGTTAGCGATTTTCAGAGTTGGTTGGAAATGCTAACATGAAGCTTTAGTGTGATAATTTATTAGCTAGAGAATGATCTTTTAGAAGAGGGTAGGTGGATAGTTGCGTTAGAGTACGGCAGTATGAAAATTGAATAGAAGTTGAAAATGAGCGAAGGGCCATTAATGCGACAGTTTTTTTTAAAGATAGACGCACATCTTTTGCCTAACCCGTACGATGTACGCGGAGGCTTGAAGTATGTCTCCAAGTCTACAGGCAAAAAACATGTACATAATCAAAAAGTCCACCAAAGATGAAGAGCCCTTCTGGCTAACCTCTTGCCCTGTATTAGCAATTGTAAACCACATAAAAAATCAAAATAAAAAAGAATATTACTACTACTACTACCAATTCTAAGAAAAAATAAATTGATATCCCGGGCTTAACTAACATTTAAAGTACCAGACGTGAAGAAATATTGGGAATCAAAAAAATCTCCCCACCCACGATTTTGAAACCTGAAGCTGTTTGAAAGTATTTAAAAGCAGTGCGCAAAACAGTCAGGTTCAATGAGTCATTTTCATATTAATATGAACTGCCATCTGCCTCATCATTCACTGCCTCGTGAGAGTCTGAATGATTGAGAGGTAAACGAGTCACTGACAGCCGAGCGAGCACTCAATCGGTAGCTCAGTCAGCACGTTTATTCTTCCGTGATGGTACCCAATACTTGTTTTGAATGACTGAGCGTACATTTTCTATGGAAAAATGCCTCAATAAAGCTGTCCACGAGACAGTTGCGATCAGCTGACTTTTTTGTTTACCAAGAACTTTTGACAGATCACAGTAGAACTGGCAGTTTAGTCTCATATGAATTTCTGCTTTGTTTATGTTTACATTCAGCACCATTAACACCAGATCACTCACACACTCTAGATTTCTAGCTGTCAGTTCGACTGAGAAACGTCTCTTGATGGATCACCTTATTACATGCTGTGTCAGCGAAGGTAAGCGGTTGAGTCGCCTGTTCGTGAGTGACTGAATGTTTTTGTTGGCTTTTTCATTGCCTCGTCCTTTACCGTTTGGTACAAACGGTCTGCACAGAGCAATGGATTGAATAGTGCAGAGCTTTCACACTCAGCACTGATAAAATTTCAAAGATTGTTTTTTTGTGTCCCACACATGAATTTTTGCAATGTGATCAACAAACGGTATCTATGAGTCACACCACACATACTACTCATTTAACTCATAAATTTCATGTGTGCTTCTGGGTGGATTCTGTTTATGTGTGGTCACATGAAAGTTATGACGGATTTCACATGGAAATTCGTCAATAAAAATGTGTGGAATTATATTAGTGAGCCTAGACAGTCAATAATGTTACGCTATGTTTGAAAGTCTGGCATGACGCATTCCCATAAACTTTAGGATTTGTGTTAGTTCGGGTCTTGCAGAAAAATTCTAAGTAAAAGATCCCGCATTTATTTAAAGTCCCAAATTCTTGATAATTTTGTCTTCGTCCGGAGCCTTTTTTCTCCGTCCTGTTTTTGAATTCCCTATTATCAATGACGAACGACTACAGAATGGTCAGAATAGCTGAAAGTCTCCTTAATCAAGAAACAACAACAACAACTGTTTAATTAAACCAAACAAACAAATATCTCTTGATAGGGACTCTATCAATTCCTTTTCAATTCTACTGATCGTTTCAATTCTAGGTTGATCGAAAAACTTTTCCCTTTTATCATACTCCAATGAAAAGACAAACACAAAACATATCATCCGAAAGTATTCATTTGGGGTTGTTTGGTGGAAAGCCTGTTCGAAATGAATCAAACATTGATTTTCCCCGAACATAACTGATAGAGCAAATGTTTTCCCTATGTAGACTCATCTCCTATAAATGGAGCAACGCAGACAAACAAAGAAAATCAAGATTTTTCTTAGCGAATGCCGAAGCCGATATGATGGAAGGAAATTAAACACACATCCGTTAGATTTCGATTCAGGTTGAAATCGGATCAGAGCAAACATCATTCAGCCGTGTTTTCATTGGAGGAAATTATGTCGGGGATGATATCAACCAACTGTTGCTCATTTCACGCAGTATGACTCCTTAACTTGTTATGTCATGCTAGGGGAATTGAGAAAGATCTACTAATTATACCACTTCGATGCTCTTATGATTAATAATATTGCAATGGTTCTCGTTCTGTATCATTCTAGGTGATGCCGCCGACGGTATGTACTTCATCGAAGATGGTAAGGTTTCGATTCGCATTCAGCAGGCCGCCGGCGAGGTTGAAATCTCGAACCTAGAGAAGGGACAATACTTTGGCGAGCTGGCACTGGTTACCCATCGGCCACGTGCCGCCTCGGCTTACGCCTCCGACAACTTAAAAGTGGCATGTAAGTACAATGAGCCGCGAAAGGCCGAGCTGTTAATGCATGCATTAAATCGTTTCACTAATTGGCTGACGGTGTAGTGTGTTTAGCTTGGTAGTTGTTTATTTTAATACACACACATTCTAGCAAGTAGACCGTAGGCGGACAGTGGCCAAAAAATTTCAAAATTAAGTATGCGCTTCAGTTAGCACCCTCGGTGTTGTCTAACAATCTAATCTCGTTTTGTTTTCAATATTTTCCTTCCTCTTTTCTTTGATTTCACTTTACTTGCATGCACTTCTGTTCTTTCGACTAAAAACTAACCGCTATAATCCCTACCGTAATCTCACGTTCGTGCTCATCTGACGGTTTGTATGCAATCAATTGAAAACGTATTTATGCCATCCACGAATATCCATTCAATCTACTCATAATCGAAAAATATCACCTCACTTCATTCATCACCGTAAAAACATTTTTTGCAATATCCGTGGAACATCGACTGCTGTAAAGTCCTCCAAACGGACTGCTTCGAGCGCTTGCTCGGTAATATTTTGGATGTGATGCTACGAGGTATGAAGCACTACCGATACGTGGATGAACCCGTGTGGAAAATGATACTGGAAGCCTGTCGGGAGGAAAATTCTGTAGTCCGTTAGCGATGCACAGTCCATGGTTGAGCCCGGCAGGACGAACGAACTGCAATGACGAACATTTTTAATTTTTGTGTGGCTTGTGGTTTTCACGTTTCTAGCAATCGAAGAAATTTGATAGGCGTCGTTCGCCGGAAAATTGTTCTATTACTTACTGTACGTGGAAAGAAGTCCTAATCATACAATAGAGGTATGCTCTCGAATCATATGGAGCGTCATGATTGTTTGTATTTGATGAATTATCATCGTCCCACCTATTATATTTGCATAAACAATACGTCAGTTCTATCGCACCGTGTAACAAAAATGGTCGTGACTTGGTGGCATTAGTGCATTACCCAGCTTGTGGGCGGGTAATGAAAAACGACGGTGCAACCCCGCTTGAAAGTGAAAAATAACCACTCTGCGATTGAAATACTAATCTGCGTTAAAGTCCACCTCCTTTCCCCTATTATAGGGCTGAAACTTCCAAACACGAGCAACAACTTAAGGCTATGGCGGCCAGTAGAAAATTAATGGTTGTGAAATAAGGAAAATTGATTTTCGCTTTCGGTAGGACGCGACGGCGAAGATGACGATGGCATGCCGTCCACCGTCAGTCGACCGATTTTTCAAGGAAGATAAACTTCTGTTAGTCCTTTGGAGAGTAGAAAGCAGTGCAGTCACAGTTGGAGATAATTTTGTCCCTTGGTTGCTTGGCTGATCGGTCCGGGGCAGTCGGTCGCCATGACTCTCTGTAATTTTTTTTTCATTCTTTTTAGTGTTGCCGCCGGGCCATCCTTCTCACGGTAGGAGGTGGATACTGATTTCACTTTCACTTCATCGTTTTTCCGCCGCTAGCTTTAGGACGTATTATTTGTACCTAAAAAAATTAAGAGAAATGATTTAAAAAAAAAACCATAAGCTTAAACCTTAAAGCCTTTCTCATATAGTATTGAATAGCTTCATTTCATATTCTGATGATTCTCGGTACTCGGAACATGTCTAAGTGCTCCCAATGCACAGTGGTCCGGAATGCAGATTTAGGTGGAATGATATGTTTTGAGACTGAAATTGAAACTTTAGACTAAAAGTCTCTTCTACAAAGTTGTTCCTTATAGTTAGGCTATCATTTTTATTTTATTGAATTGAGTTAGGGTGGCTCTAAAAAAACAGGTAATTTGCTCTAGTTTTCTTATTTAAAATTTCTCAGCAAAGGTTTCTCCAAATAACTTATAGATCTTTAGAAAGCGCAAATTTTTGCTGCAGAAAGCTTGTCAATATCTTCTGCCGGTCAAGAGTTATTGACGTTTTTATACTAAAAATATGCACTTTTCAAATGGTAATATCTCTGGTTGGGGCAAACAAAAAAAAAAGTTTTTTTACGGCATTTAAAAGGACGTATGTGATTCTCAATAATATGAAGAAAAAAAATTGAAGTATGTTATTTTTTAAACTCGTATAAAATCAATTTGAATTTATTCATATTTTTTACTATATTTGGGTACATTTTTTTTATTAGAAAATAGCTCTAAATCGACCATTTTAAGAGATACAAAAAAGTTGTTCCCAACAAAGTTGCCTGAAACTAGCTCAGCTATAACTTTGCCGAAGAATGTATACCTTAATTTATTCAAACAAAAAAGTTAGATTTTTGATTTTAATGATAATAAGAACCACCCTAGAATTCATTGTCATATAAATGAGGGCCAAACTATAAGGAACAACTTTGTAGAAGAGACTTTTAGTCTAAAGTTTCAATTTCAGTCTCAAAACATATCATTCCACCTAAATCTACATTCTGGACCACTGTGCAATGTTTAACACTCAATATAAGTTCCCCAGAGGTATGCAAATCATGTCCAGGTGTGAGGAAATGAATAAATAGGAGCATCAACTTGGACGCAAATTATTTCAAGAACAAATTGTCAAATAGCCGTACCTGTTTTTGTAAACAATGACCTCAAACATCAAGTTGTCGAAACTACTAGGTCACCCTCATAAACTAACCTTTTTTCCTCTGCTCGGGACCTCACAGCATTGCGACCAGTAATTTGATCTATTGTAGTATATCCCGTGTCCTTAGTTTTGTGCATGTCGTATTACTCCATCACTATTGAGAAATGAAGTATTCGATTTTTTTACAGTTGTCATTCTCGCATTTATCGCAAGGATCCGACTCTAATTGAAAGGTTTCGCTATTTATACCCTTCGGAGTGTTGGAACACCCTCCAAAGGCGCGCCCGTTTGTCAGTCAAAATGTGATTCCTTTACAATAAAATTAAGGAATGACACCAATAATGAACATGCATCAGAACCCTAGTCTTAACAACTTCAAACTACGGAACAACGAATAGAAGACTAGGAATCACATAAATGAAGACTAACTCATTTTTTTTCTTGTTTCAAGATCATCCTCGGTGGACAAAGCCGAGTCTTGTCACTATCAACAAGGCATAAAAAGTAACAAGGACTAAGATGTGTTCCTGTGGATTACTGAAAAATCCTGTTCCCCTAGTTTGAAGTAGTCAGGACTAGGAATCGGTGGTAGATGAACGCGTCATTGGGACGGTACTAATGGATATTTTTGGTTGCTATTGAAAATTTAGTCGATTGCTGAGTTTATGTATGAGTCCAAATTAGGGACACTTAGGCTGACATTACATAAAGGGTGTCCACGATAAAATTGCCACGCTATGAAATTGCTCTAACTTTTTAACCGTTGGGTAGAATTTAATGAAAATTTGGGTGGATTTAGTTCATAGTGCATTATTTACATCCTGCAAGTTTTAAAGTCCTGTGATCTAAACTCGCGGAAATGGAGCCGAAAGAACAGCTCGTGCGTGATAAAATCTTGCGCATTCATCACGAGAACAAGGATCTCTCGCATCGTTCCATCGCTAAAACGTTGGGAATCGCGAATTCCACGGTGTCGCGAGTGATTAAGCGGTTCGAGGAACGGTTGACCACCGATCGGAAGCCCAGAAGTGAAGGAAAAAGTGTTCCGTACAACACCAATAATCACAACCGCGTAGTTGGGGCCTTCAACCGAAATCCGAACGCCTCCGTTAGGGATGTGGCTAAGAAGCTGCACCTAAGTCGAAGTTTTGTCCAGAAGGCCAAAACTAAGGCTGGGCTTCAAACGTTCAAGGTACAAAAGGCCCCTAATCGCGACGAGAAGCAGAACAAGTCCGCCAAAACCCGTGCCAGGAAGTTGTACCTCAACATGCTGACGAAAGTTGAATGCTGCATCATGGACGACGAAACATATGTGAAGGCCGACTTCAAACAGATCCCCGGCAACCTGTTTTTCACGGCCAAGGATAAGAATTTGCGAAGAAATTCCTGGTTTGGCAAGCCATCTGCACATGCGGGAAGCGAAGTGCACCTTTCGTGACCCAGGACACGATGAACGGACAGGTGTACATAAAAGAGTGCCTCCTGAAGCGGCTGCTTCCTCTCCTGAAGGCCCACAACGTCCCAACAATCTTCTGGCCGGATTTGGCCTCATGCCACTACTCCAAGGACGTGCTGAAGTGGTATGCGGACAATAAGGTCAATTTCGTGCCGAAAATGTTCAACCCTCCCAACACTCCGGAGCTCCGCCCCATCGAGAAGTACTGGGCGATTATGAAGCAGCACCTTCTTAAACGACCTAAGGTAGTGAAGACAGTCGAGGAACTGAAGAAAGTATGGGTTTACATGCAAAAAACGGTTGATTCACAGGTTGTGCAGAATCTTATGGCCGGGGTTAAGGCCAAGGTGCGGGCATTTGCGTATGGACTGTAAATAAAATACGAGTAAAATGGTAAAATGAAGTTTAATAGTTATTTCTCAATCCCTGAAAATTTGATGGCAATCGGATGAAAACTCGAATTTTGCGAATCAATTTTGTGTGTGGCAATTTCATCGTGGACACCCTTTACATTTCCCCTATATGTGTTGTTTTCACTCAATATCAACTTCAATCTATACTTCATATTAGGTTCTACACCACCAACCCAATACTCCGGCATATTCAAATGACCATAATATGAATTTAGCTATTGAATATTACACGAGAAAGTCCGTTCTAAACCTTATCAATCTCTTCATAACCATAATAAAATCAGAATTGCTACTTGGGACCAGTATCGTACTCAGCAGGTGGCAATCCTGAGGGGCGAAAAAAAATGCTTGGATTTAGCAAAACTAAATAGAGATGTTTTAACTTAATGGCGAGGTTGAAAACAAATTCTGGCCACCATGGCGAATTTTTGTTTGAACATTGTTTGATGACGATAATACAAGAATGTTCGAGGTTCATTTTCAAACTGTCACTAAGAAGCTGATCAACATGGGCATAGGAGCATAAGTCTAATGAAACTCCTCAAACTCACATGAAGTTAGCTA